AAAAAAACTAAGATCATGGCCACTGGTCCCATTACCTCCTGGCAAACAGAAGGGTAAGATATGAAGGCAGTGACAGATTTTACTTTCTTGGGCTCCATGATCACTGCAGATGTTGACAGCAGTCACGAAATTAAAAGACACCTGCTTCTTTTAATTTCACGAAGAGTTGGACACGACATAACGACTAAACAACAACAACAATTCCAATTACCTATCAGGGATGTTGGCAAGTCTTTGGGCCTGAGTCCAAGTCTCTGGTACAAAGTCCCAAGTCCCAAACCCCAAGTCTGAGTCCCTATTAAAAATGAACTTTTTTCCAGAGAAAAATGGAAGGGTTGTGTTGATTCCAAGTCACAAGTCAAGTCTGAGTCATTGGGGGGGGGGAACCTGAGTCACGTTGTTGATGTGACTTAAATCTTACTTAACAGTGAGTCCCGCAGCTCATGTCCCCATCTTTGTCACCTGTTACACAGTGGCATCGCACATCCTGTACTTCAAGGGATCAGTTATATTCTAGTTTTTCTGACAGTACTGAAAATGCTTCAAAACAAACCTGTTTATTAAAAAACGTCTATGTAGATTGTTTGACACAGCTTTTCCTGGAAGTCCATGCGTTGAAATCAAGGTAAGGTTGTTGAATTTCAGGTGGGGACTAGAGGAGGAAAAATAAAAATATTTTAATATCTTAAGCAAAGTCAGAATACATTCCTGCGTGAATATGATGGCTTTCTCCTGCCTTCTTTTTCTTTTTTAGATTCTTCTTATTACCATTCCTCCAACTATATAGTAACAAATAAAGTAAGTTTGTTCTCTATAAAAAATATTTGTTTAGATGTGCCCAATATCTACACATAAACAAAATTCAATGGTTAAGGTATAGGATAAGCCACATGTACAAACACACTTTGATGCATTTCAACTTAGGCAATTAACAACATTGGGAGATTGACAAATATAATACTTCTCTATCTTGGGTACTGATGCAAATGGTGTGTTTTTAAGCTTCTCTCACCTATGCTTTTCCATTCCTGCACTCCATTCAGAGGTCATGGAATTGGATACAGAATCCCTTTATCAAAGGCTTAAAAAAACTAGAGACACAAATTCCTCTTCTTATACCCTTGCCATACCATCCTGAAATTTGATGATAAAGAGTCCCTTTCTGTAATTGTGTTCAAGACAGGTTTGTTTCTGTTGAAGTACCTCTATTTAAAGAGTGTCTCTCTCTCACCAATTCTCAGCAGGCAAAATGAAATACAATATACAAAATTGGTTAAGAATCTATCAGCTGATCCAGTTTATTTCATCTCCTACAATATTCAGGCTACTCAATTTTTGTGTCCCTTGGGACGTATTTTAACACTACCAGTATCGTGCTGAATACTGTACAAGGTTTCATGGATATATTCAGTTGTACTATATGTAATGTTTTCCCCCTTCACTGCTTTGAAAATTGTTTGGGAATAAGATATAGAAAAAGAAATTAATGAAGCCAGTTGGCAGAGAAATTGGTTTACAATACCTTCTTCTGTGTCTGCAACTATCAGAGGGAATTAATTGAAACATACTCATAGGAGGTTTTATACATCCATTACATTGGTATATAATCTTTATAGGTGTGTATGTATTTCTGTATGTTTGTATGTTATTCATATGCTACCTTTCTCCTCAAAGGGGACCCATGGTGGTTCACAACAATTAAAACAATACAATAAACACAGATTTACAATGTTGCATAAAAACCATAATTAAATAATCAAGCCACAATTAAAAACAAAATGTAAAACATTTTTAAAACATGTAGTCTCTCTAAATTCAATAAACACACCACATTCCTGAGCTCCCCACGTATTGCTTAAAAGCCTGTTTGAAAAGGAAGGTCTTTGCTTGAAAATGGAAAGACAAGAGGGTGGGGGTCATCTTAACATCCCGGGGCAGCATTTGGTATTATGTGTAATTGAATATGTAATTTTTTTCTTTTTATGAGTCACAATTAAAGTCATTTCTGTTCAAAAAACTGTAAAAAGATGACTTCAGATAACAGTTTTCATACTGTACAGGATCAATTTCTCTCAAGATCAAGATCTCCCAAGTTGATATTGACCATAGATGTCAACTCTCTCTGAGAATTATGTGAGCCTATGCCATGTCAAATTGGAGTATTAGCCTGCTTTGAGGGGCACATGTCACATTCAGTAGTGATGAACCATTAAGTTTTCTCTCAAAGTAGGAAACAATGCAGAGCACTTCAGAAGACAATGGCCTGTGCAACAGATGATCCCATTGCTCTTCCTTCCTTCCTTCAGTTTCTTTGGTGCTTCAGAAGCATTGCATGTTCTTCTTCCCAAAGACATCTTAGTGTCTTTTGTTTGTAATGCTGAAGCAGTACTAAAATCAATGTCAAGATGTCTGATACCGAAGCTTCCAAAAAGTTTACTAAGGATGTATCTTGTGAAGATTGTTTGAGAGTAGAACCAGAGTTTAACATGGACATCATAGTATTTCCATATCACTATAAACAAACAGAGGCAGAAAATGTGTGCAGTGGCTTGTTTTGTCAAGTGAGGTCAATGGTCTGAGGAGATTTCTACAGACTTGATGTTTTAGCTTCAATTCTCTATTTCATAGACTGATTTCAGCAAAATTTCAAGAGATGGAACACTCCACCATTTTCTGAGGCAGAATACGACCATCTTGTGTCTGATTTACAGGGCCATTTCCCTTTCCCTTCCCCACCAAAGATGACAAACGCCTTGAAGTGGGCTACAGAGGCTTAAAAATGGGGGAGGGGTGGAGATGGGATTCACTCTAGTTTCACTTTTTTTCACAAGAAGAAAGAGTAATTTGATAAAGAGGAACTTGATAAATAATTTTTTCAAGAAGAAAAACATATTGAAATACTCCTTTTGGTACAGATTGCTCAGAGGATGAAAGAGAACTCAGGGAAAACTGTTTGGACTTACTGTATATGATCACGGTTGATGGGGGGACAGCGTTCCAATCAAAAATTATTAAGCTTTAGAAAGTTCGGAACAGACCTCTTAACAGGGAAAAGATCTGTATGTGTGAGTCACAGAAACCACAGAGAACTAATCATTCTATACAACTAGAGGGAATGCTGGCTTCTGCTCTATGAAAGAATGACATGTCAAGTAATTGTACTGATGGAGTTGCTTGAAATTTGGCCATGAGAAATAATCAATCTATCACCCCACTGGACATTTCTCTATTTCTTGAGGCACGTTAGCAGTTCTTTTCCAGGACATAGTAAAGGAAGAATTGCACCAATAATTTTGACTTGAAACTTTAACGTGTTTGATTGACAAATCCTGTATTTAGTTTCACAACCTTCAGAACATGGCCAAAGAGCCCGAAAAACCCACAACAACCATTAGATCCTGGCCGTGAAAGCCTTCGTGGATACATATATTTAGTTTCTTTAAAAGCCATCTCTCTCTCTCTCTCTCTCTCTCTCTCTCTCTCTGAAAAACAACAACAAAAACAACCCCCCTGCATTTTTCTAAGTATTACGTAAAAGGAGGAAAAGTGCTAAAATGAGATACTGTGTATCAGCTTTGGCTTTGAATGAATATAAAGAATGCTAAATGCCATATGCTATACAAGCATAGAGCACCTTTTGGATTGAAAAAAAGGCTTCAAGTTGAGAGCTTAGCCCAATCAAGCATTAAACAAGTGCACCTGCATTATCGAAGCAAATAATTCCAGCAGGGATTCATGTTGCTGTGGATACAAAAGGGAAAGAACAGCTCAAAGATACTTGTAAAGCAGGAGGGATTAGAGTATCTAGGGAAATAAGTAAAAGGTATTTAGTTTCATTGCCTGGTTTAAGAGAGCAGCTACAAAAGGAGCCTCAACATCCTTGGCTTTAAAATAAAAAGGGTTCATGTTGCCAATTTATCTGAGCCATGATAAAGTTAGCAAAAGGGAACTCTACAAAAAGTATTATTTCCTAGTTTTTTGGATTTCATTCTTGGCAAATCAGTGGTTGTTTTATTTATTCTTGTGCATGGAATTAAATAGAAAGATGAATCAGCTACAAAAATACAATAGCCACTTTTTCCTTAAGTAGAAAAACTTTTTTTGAGTAGAAGTCATTTTCAAAGAGGCAGCCATCTTAGTCTTTCCCAGCATTAACAAAAAACAAAAACAAAAAAAACCCAGATTATTTTAGTGTGCACTTTCATAGATTACAATTAATTTCCTCAAACAGTATCTGAGATCACTTGGGAATCCTGGTAAGCTGCTAACATTGTATGGATGAAAGCAGCATGCAAATGTCAGAAAGACTCTTGATCTCAAAATTGAGGGTCCACCTTCTCCTGCCAAGCTGTGACAACGTCTAGTGGGAAATGGTCACCCCAACAAGCCACACACGATACATTTTTCTATATGTGCAGTCCTCAGAGTGTGGACACAAATGCAAGTGGCATAGTCAGTTAGGATCCAAGGATATTTGAGGCTTTCTTTCCCATATGGAAATCTTTGCACACCTCCCTCATTGACTTGTATACAAATAAAACTGAATGAAGCCAAAATTACTGGATTCATTTCCGATCTCCTGTGGGCCCATAATGTATGTGTAATGCAACTTCTTATACTATAGGCTTCCCATTCACTTCAGTGACAAGGCAGCTCTCTGCATGCTAGGTTTTCCTCATAGTCCTACGAGGAACTGCCCCTCTACTGAAATGCAAAGGGATGCAGAATGGAGACTGTGTGATAAATAAAAAACAAACAATATACAAAAACATCAGAATGATTCACTATTAAATATTAAATTTTAAAGCTAATTCTTACCCATTTAAAACCTGACATTGCTCAGTATGTTACAATACCATAGTATTAGTCCCTGTAAAACAACTGCTATAAAGAATATACTTTGAGGCACTACTGTATCTTTCTCCTCTGGTTATGTACCGTATTTTTCGCTCCATAAGACGCACAGACTTTCCACCCCCCTGTTTTGTGGGAAAAAAGTGTGTCTTATGGTGTGAAAAATACGGTATGTCTCACAGATACGTTCCTATTGTAACTATGATTTCATAACAACTCAAGATAGGACATGCCCTATTTTTCGCCATCTGAATATTGATCTTCTCCATTTCCTCTAACTGATGCAAGGAGACACTGTCTGAATGCTGTCGCTTCAGTAATATCCAGCACGTGATAAATGGCTACATTGTTTTGCCTTCATATTATTTCCCCTTGGCATAGTAAAAGAAACAATAGGAAAAGGGCACGTATTTCAGCCAATTCATGTGGCATAAGGAAGATAGGATAAAACAATAACAATTACTAAAACATTCATTACATGTTAGCCTTGTGATCAGCAAGCAAGCACTAACTATTTAATTAGTCAACTAATTAGTGGCAGGCAACATGGAAGGCTCCTGACATTCTCAGACAAATGTAAAGATAAAAGCCTAATTAAACTGCAAGCATTATGCTAGCCACTGCCAAACAAGGCAGCTGTTCAGGATATTGTGTAATACTGGGCTACCAGATAACAGGACTTGTAACTATTCTGTCACAAGTAGGGCTTTAGAAGGATGCATTTTCAAAGCCATTTTAGATGACTAAATAGGCCAAAAGGAATTGAGAAACTACTAACCTGAGAAAATCAGAGTTTAAAAGAAATATGTTGGCAAGAAAACTGCTGTTCATGAATAATGCAGGCACATTTAAATGGACATGTTTTTCTACCACCGACAGCTAAGTGACTGCATGGTATATTTGCCCTAACTTCTCTGAGAGATGAGAAGGCTGACCCCTTATTTACACTTGGTTTCTTCTGGAAAAAGGTTCACTGAAGGTTTATGACATTTCATAACATTTGAACTTATTTATAGATATAAAGCATAAGCAAAGGCACAACATTCCAAACACAAAGAAAAAACCCAAACCACTGCTTCAGATCTGATATTCCAACAGCCGTAATATTATTTAGTCTATCAAGCTCCAAGAATATAGTTCTCTCTTTCTAAAACTACACTTGAATATAAGAGACCTAGATTGTATTATCCTTATTGTGGGGTGGGACAGAAGCTCCTCTAAACAATGTTTCTGCCTCAAAGATTCCAGTGATCCTGTAACAAGCTGCAGTTTTTTAACAGTTGGCTCCCATGGAAATACAACAATGGACTATCACAGGCAGCTAACACTTGTTTGGTTTGTCTGAGAATGCTGTGCCATTTTGGATGCTATTTTTCAGGTCCCATCTTAACCTAATGCAAGATAGATGGGGTCCCTTGGTCGAGAGAAAAGTAGAATAAAAATAAGATGAATAATAAATAAATGTCTTGGAAGCATCCTTTTGGTTGTTAACACCCAAGATGTAGAATGGCCTCAACAAGAGAGGCATATCTGACCCCTCACCATCTGCTTTTTGGAGGGCTATGAAGGCTTATTTAAGTAAAGCTTTTCAGAATATTGGGCTAGACTGTATATTCTGATGCAATTTAAAAGTGTTGCACGTTTAACTTCTATTTAGATTTGTAAATTGGTTCCTCTGGTTTTAAGTTGTATTTTTGTCTTAACTTGTATTAAGGCGCACAACAACAAAAAAACCAACTAAATGCACAATACATACACAACCACTTGACTATACATAAATATACATAAGATTCTCAGTGCAAGTTGAGTTTCATGTAACAGGAGAGAGAATATATAAATGGAGAGACAGAATTAAATATGTGCAAGACAATGAAGGAAATATGAACTATATAATTATGGAAAAATCTTGACCTTCATGAATAATATTCTGCAGCTTAAATCACATATATACATAGGATATGCAAAGTTTAGCATTTCTTTCCCTGACTTATTTCGAGGCACAGATCTCTTCTGATTTTATTCATAATTAGATGGCTTTAATATTGTTTGGTATTTTTAGCAGCTTTACACTGACCTTTAGCAACAACAGTTATGAAAATATAGACCCACGGAAAGCTTTTTTTGGCAATTGCTTTCATTTCTTAAAAATGATTTTTAAAAATATGGAACATTCAAGAAGATCTTGAGATGTGAAAATGAGAAAGTACTTTTTAAATTCCTGAAACTGCAAGTGTGGCTTTTTCACCCTGATTTATTTATTAGTGTCCCCGGGGGTACTACAAGTACATAGAGAGCTCAAAGCAGGAACTGATCATGAAATACGTAGATCAAAGGAGAGAGAAATATGTGGCAAAATCATGACAATAGAAGATATTGCCATTGTTTAAAATGAAACACAGTGGACCTAGGATATAATAAATATTTTTAAAGGCTTAAATATATGACACAGAACAAATTGGCTGTTGGTTCTTCATGTATCTGTCCCTCTGAAACAGTACCAGCACTCCTGCTAAAAGTAATACATTGCCCACACTGCAGTTGCTTGCAGTACTTATTACTGGTCTGCCACCTACACAGCACATTGAGTTACCATGAACAATGTGATAGCTAGGTAGGGGTCTGGGTTCTATGTGCCTTTCCATTCATGAAAGAGACATATCTGTAACTTAGAAAGGCTGTGGGATAAAACAATGAATTTACACAGTAGTCGGTTTGCCTTGTAGTGAAGAACTTACCAAAAAATCAGTGTCTCCAGGAAGGAGATTCCAACATTTGATGCACCAACTACTACTATTCTAGCGTTGATAGATACCTTTGGTTCCAGGGATAACTTCCGATTAAAGTGGTTCAATGCATATTTTAACTGTAAGAGGAATTAAAAGCAAAAAAGAAGTCATTCCAAAACATTGAGAACTTTTCAACAGATTCCTGAAAGTGTTACAAATGTGGGCATACACACTGAAAGTAGTATCCACCACACACAACCTGTGCAGGGATAAACACCTTGATCTTTTTATGGCAGAGATGCACTGTTTTAGACACTCCTGGCATTCTTTAGACTCTTACTTTATCGTTTACTTTTGCTAAACCATTCATACTGCCCCTTGTTACTTATCGCCTCTCTGCCACAGCCTGGCTGTAAACTCCCTATCATATCTGCTTAAAGGTCACATTCAAACCTTCCTTACAAGCTGCTTCAGCTCTGCAGAAAATGTTTTTTTATGGGATGCACTTCAAGGCTTGATTAAGATATGTTCTCTCCACCAAAGATGCTGTGGGAAGAGGTGCACTTTCCTATACATTTTACTTTTGGTAAGAAACAGGTATGTTTCTGTAATGGAAACCCCCATACCTAACAATAGCTAAAGGATGTGGGAAATGTGGTTAATTGCCAGAACTCAAGACATGCTGTTTGTATTGGTTTCATTTCTTCTTATGCTTCACTTCAGTATTTGCTAACTGGAAATCCCCCAATGTATTTCTAAGTAGTTGTTTCACTTTTTTGCTCAAGTAAAATCAACAAGTGTTTGTGGTTTACTTATGTATACTTGAAATAATATTATTTATGATTTCTTTTTTATATTTATTTAAAATATTTTTGCCCTACATTTTTCTTTAAAAAGGGCCCAAGGTATTTATATTTATTTAAAATATTTTTGCTCCACATTTTTTCTTTAAAAAGGGCCCAACGCGGTTTACATAATTAAAATACAACATTTAAAGTTAACAACAGCAAGTCTACAAACACTAAAAAGGAGTAAACAAATGCCACAATAAAATGGTAAACAAAATCAACACCAAAAACACATTCAAAGCAACAAGGCACAACACTCCATTTAAAAACCTGTCTCAGACAACCAGTCATTAAGGAAAAACCTATCTGAAGAGAAAGGTCTAATTTTTAAGTTTAATTCTTTAAAAATATTTCTATATATGCTATTTTGTCTTTTAAATATTGTCTTTTAATGACATAAAGTTATTTCTAAGAAGGAAGATGGAGTAAAATATTTTAAACAACCAACCAAACAGGCTCTCCAGTATATCTGTACCTGCTTGGATCCACAAGATGCGAACTCAAAACGGATCAGGTTTTTCTTAGATAACAACACCCACCAAACGAAGTGGAAAAAATGACAAAAGAACATTGGTACTCAGGAATAACCTACTAGAAGACAACCAAAAATGAGAAAAAGAGAACAACATTGCTGGTCTCCTATGGGTCTCAGATAAGACTGCAAACATGTAGCATCGACAGGCTACAACCTGTTCTGGGTAAGAAAACATGCTTTCCCCAAACTTCAGGTAACAAGTATGTTCTTACTTAGAGACAGCCCCGCTCCCTTGTGAGCTATTGACTAGTCACATAACATGAATAGAGACAGGAATAGGACCCTGCAACAAATCTAGATACCAGCTGTGCCCCTGCATTTCCTTTGGCAGCATTACCATAGGTTTCAACAGTGTTATCCACAACATCATTGTTCATTAGCTAATGTGTTCTGTGCCATCCTTTGCTAGCATTCCTCTGCATTGTATATGCAACAGATGGAACAGTCTCTGTGGACTGTAAGAGAATAAATGTATGCAAATCTGATAACAGAAATGGTAACAGCCAGCCAGTTATAGAATGCCTACAATTCACAGGACATTCTATTACTAATCTTACAATTTCTACTGTAGAAAATTATAAATGGAGATTTGAGAGTGAGACAGTCAAAGTGTGTTATACCCATGAGTACCAGGTGTATCTTAAAAAATTAAATAGAGACCAGTTTTTTTAGTTCATTATGACTGATTCCTATTGCTTTCTGTAGTAAATTGCAACCAGAATAGTTGCAACTAGAGTAGCAACTAGAGTATAATCAACAGAACTAATGGAAGAGCTGACTCACCAAATCCTCACTGATTCAAGAGGTCTACTCTGGTTGAGATTTACTTCTCTAAGCAATAGGATTTCAGCCACTGTAAATTAATAAGAATAGGCTAATGTTCAAGTCATCATCTCTGAACTACTGACCATTAATTGAAGAAAATCTGGGTCTGGATGAAGAATCTGACCCTATTGTATGGATAGCCAAACCAGAGTTATTAGCAGCCTGAACAAAACTGTGTGGAATAGGTAAAGAAGAGTGGCAAATCATGGACCCTGGAACCACTAAGTTATTAACATTGCACTGCCATTATCCATGTGAAATTTGATTACCTTGGTCAGGAAGGGAAATGGTCAGCAGACATAAAAAGCTACTTCTCCCAAAGCAGAAACACTGACTAAGGGCTGTTGCACACTCTAATGCTATATCCTTGGCATTTTGATTTAGGATATGTTGTAAATACTGTATGTCAGTTGCAGAATGACCCCATCAACAAACTAATAAGGCTGCATCTGACAGCTCCTATTTATGCTAGTCTTGTTTTTATTTGCATAAAGAATCTGGAAGAATATCCATGAACCTTGCCACATGAACTGCTATTGATAGAATGTCCTGCTGAACATATCAATTCACAATCAAGAACCTAATTGAAGTTGCTCTGGAGAATGCATACCACCTAGTTTATTTACATGGAACATGTTGTCTGTTGCTACCTGGACAACCATATCTTGTACCAGTGGTTTAATGCACAAAAGACAAATATCACTCCAAGTAGCTGTAACAATTTCTGCAAAGATTTGCTTATCTCAGAGATCAATAGGCATGAAAGATAAGATCTGGACCACTGATTCCCAGCCTGGGGTCTCCAGGTGTTCTTGGGACTACAACTCCCAGAAATCCTGGCCAGCAAAGATAATGGTGAAAGCTTCTGGGAGTTTTAGTCCAAGAACATCTGAGGACCCAAGGGTGGGAACTTCTGGTTTAGACAATGCCCCCCATCATGTTAGAGAAACATACATCATGACCATCATGGGGAATGTGGGAAGTGGCATGTGGTACATTTAATTAAAACATTTTGAAGGTAAGTTCACCACAGAAAGGTATGATGCATTTTGAGAGTGGCAAGATAAGTCAACTGTGCCATAAATTTTAAGTACTTTCAAATGTTATAGAAACCAAGGGTGGAGAGGTCAAAGGCAGAGCTTTGAAAACCAAGAGGCTGCCAAAGTTGCCAATGTCAATCCAAGTTATTTTAAAACATCTTTTATTTTGTAGGAATGTTTGTGTATTAAAGACAATGCTGTATTGAGCAACAGAAGAGCCCTCATCCTATCATTCAATTCAAGAAGACGCTTATGAAATGGATAAAATCTGTAGGTTGAAGGTGGCATTTTTGCTGATTGAACTCAAAACCCAAGTCCTTTAGCAGAGATAAAATGTAGTCCAGGTTATTCTGAAGACATATTCACATTCTTGTCACCAAGAGCCAGTCATCGATGTATGGAATAATGTTCCCTTCCTTGCTAGCAAGTGAACATTATGTGACAACCAAGACCATTGTACATTTTGTAAATATCCTTAGAGTTATGACAAGTCTCACAAGTAGACCTTTGAATTGGAATAAACGATTTATCAGGCAGAGTGAAGAAAACATGGCAATATAAAATAGATATTTTCAGACTGATGGACACAAACCAATCCCTGTGCCTTAGGGGAAGAAGCATAGACATAAGAGTAACTAAAGCTGAACTTCTTCAGACATTTTTGTCTGCATGTCTTGGATATCTAGAATAGGGCAAAATAATTGTAATAAAATAGTGAGAGGGGAAATTGTGTCCGCCCCCCAGGAAACTGGGTTGTGCTCTACAGCAGTGGTCCCCAACCTTTTCCAAACCGTAGACCGGTTGGGGGACAGAGTCCATGTGCTGGGAGGCACCACCCTGCTTGTGGGTGGGCATGGCATGCTCACGGGTGGACGTGGTGTGCTTCAGCGCATGCATGGGTGAGCGGGGTGCTCTCATGGGTGAGTGTGGCACGCTCACATGCATTGGCGTGGCGTGCTCGTGAGTGGGGTCCACTTGTGTGCATGAGCATGCTCGTGAGTGGGCATGGTGCATTCGTGTGCACGTGCTGATGGGTGTGGCATGCTCGTGGATGAGCAGGGCACGCTCACGTGCACGTGTGGGTGAGCGGGGAACCCGTGTGTGCGGATGGGTGTGCTGTGCATGCATGTGGGCATGCATGTGGGGGAGTGCATGTGGGGGACATTTGTCTCTGCAGCCCAGTCCTGCAAAGGCCATGGACCAGCAGAAGGCCACAGGCTGGGGTTGGGGACCCCGTGAGCGGGGTGCTCTCATGGGTGAGTGTGGCACGCTCACATGCATTGGCGTGGCGTGCTCGTGAGTGGGGTCCACTTGTGTGCATGAGCATGCTCGTGAGTGGGCATGGTGCATTCGTGTGCACGTGCTGATGGGTGTGGCATGCTCGTGGATGAGCAGGGCACGCTCACGTGCACGTGTGGGTGAGCGGGGAACCCGTGTGTGCGGATGGGTGTGCTGTGCATGCATGTGGGCATGCATGTGGGGGAGTGCGTGCGGGGGACATTTGTCTCTGCAGCCCAGTCCTGCGAAGGCCATGGACCAGCAGAAGGCCGCAGGCTGGGGTTGGGGACCCCTGCTGTACAGCATACTTGTTAAACAGGATCAAGGTCTCTTTCTGAAGCATCTTTGAAGATCTGGTGGAATTAAAAACTTGCATTGGTGGCATGGAAAAAAAATGTAGTATTTAGCCATGCCATATGATTTCAACACCCATCAGTCAGTAGTGATGTTGCAACAAATGTTATAATGGCATGCTTGCCACCTAATCTGCAAATCATCATCAATGAAGGATGAAGTAACTAGGCGGAAAATATCAGTGGTTTGGCAATGAAGTTAACATGGGAAATAAATCATCTCATAGAAAATGAACACTGACCAATTGTTCTGGATTT